TCTCTCTCTCTCTCTCTCTCAATGTGTCTCACTCCTCCTGTCATCTGTAACAGCTGAGGATACTCTATAAATAGTGTGAAATGCCAGACCGTTTTTATGGCTTGCTGGCACAAAACGGAAGGTGAATAGGGAGTTAAGGGACCGGTTCCATCGCCGTTGCTGGGGTTACCACGGAAGCCTGCATCCTCTGGAACACCTTTCTCTTGCTCAATTTGCTCACTCTGCTCTAATTGCAACGGATAAGATGTGTTTCGCGGTGTGAAACCTATTAGCCCACATCATTGGAAGGGGCAGACGGGTTTTAAATAGCTTTGCATAGCCAATAAAAGTAGGCAGGTGCTTGCCAGCAGCCTCCTAATTGAAAACAGAAAGGGGGATATGTAAGTGTAAATGTACTCCCAGCTGTTTGCATAAATCTGAATACATTTGCATAGCTCCAAGAGCAGCAAATGAAGAATGAAAGGCAAAGGGAGAGAACAAATGATGAACTGTCCATCATTACACCATTCAGGACTCTCCAGATGCAAATACCTGTTTTATTTTATTCCTCTTCCCCTTGCTTCTATATATACTTAAAAAAAAAATCCTCTGTTTTTCACAACAGACATTTACCAATATATTTTAGGTGCATTCATCTCTAGAAGTTGTTTTGACCCAAAGTTTCATAGAATCATAGAATTGTATTGTTGGAAAGGACCCCAGGGGTCATCTAGCCAAACCATAGCTGTCAATGTTTCCCATTTTTAAAGGGAAATTCCCTTATTCCGAATAGGATTCCTCACAAGAAAAGGGAAAAGTTGACAGCTACGAGCCAAACTTGTGAAGTGCCCCGAGATCTTTGGATGAAGGGTGGTATACGAATCTAATAATAAAATAAAATAATTTTGAGGGAAATGGTGTGTCTTTGCTTCTGTCTTTTGTTCCTAGTGAATGATGCTCAATCACAAGCCTAGAAAATGAATCAGAGGTGAACAATGCTATCTTTGTTGCTTAGCAAAACTGATTTTTTTGGGGGGGCGGGCGGGAGGGGAATAGTTTGACCAATGGCCCTTCCAACGAGAAAAGCTTGCAAATATTATCTTGTATTGGGCAGTGCAGCTGGTAACATTATAGGCCTTCTGCAATCTCTTTGGTGCAAATGTAGTTGCTATGGAACTATTTTTGTAGTGATTGTCTAAAGTCGAAATAGGCATCAGTTGAAACCAGAAGAGAGTCCACATTCATATATATGTGGAAATTTAATCACATACTTTCTTGACATGACCTTGATGAGTGTTTTACTTAAGACACATCAGGATACATAAAATGTTCTTTGGTCTATTTTTAAACTGCCTTACCTGTTTTTGGTTCAAGGTAAATAAAACGTTCTGTTTTTAAAAATCCATAAAAGTGGATCAAACAGACTGTCCTCTGGTGTCATATGCTGATCACATAGCATATCTATAATACTAATGTGCTTTGAAAATAGTATTTATTTCCCTACAGGAGAGACAACTATGAACATTTTAAAATGCAAAACAGTATACTTTCCCAACAAGTGTACCAATATATATCACTTTATACAAAGCTATTGTTTCCGTCTGGATAATAATTATGGTTGATAACAAACTAGGTCATGCACAGTGTACACCTACTGAATTCAGTGGACATAGTCTGATTCTATCTTAACCTTGCTTATCACTCTATAACTAGGTAGTTTCGTTAAAACAGAATTAGCTACTTGTTAAGTCTTTCCGTATGAATATGGTAGCCTGACCAAGTAGCATTTTTTTAAGAGGTAAAGAGAATCATAACAGGACAATTTTCTTTCTAAAATATATGAAAGGGACCCTTCATGTCTCTGCCATTTATGAAAATTTAAAGATCGCCATGAGGCATTCCATGAAAGTTCTTTGAAGCAAGATAAAAATGAAGCTGATTTTTTGGGGGGTGAATTCTTCATCACTTTTGGCTGTTATTTCTCTCAGGGTAACAGCCTAGTCCACAATGCAACATTGATCCTGGGCTGGTCTTCTGGAGGAGAGCCAAGAGAATGTAGGGAGTCAAATAGGTTTGGGGGCGAAGCCAATGGGGAATTCAGTCTCTGCCTGAGTGACAAATTGTATAGACAAGTCTATAGACAAATTGTTGTATAGACAAATTGTACAAGTCAGGCCTGTGGCAATAAAACAACAGCAAACCAACCTTTTGCCCCAACCTTCCTAAATTTGGGCCCAAATGACATTTGCCTCATTCCTAGATTAGTTTACTTGGTGACAACAGAAGTATCAGAAAGTTACTTTGTGTTTTGGTCAATATGATACTTGAAGTGGGATGGAGGGCAGGTGGCAAGGGGGTCACCAATAAGAAGCCCCTGTCCATTTTGGTGACACTTAGGGTTGCCATGTGTCCTCTTTTTCCAGGACACATCCTCTTTTTCATGGGTATGTAAAATGAGAGTCGTAATACCTATCCATAGTTAAAAGTAGAAGTCGGCAAATGTGTCCTCTTCTTTGCTCTTCAAAGTATGGCATCTCTAGACCCCAACGCCTCTACCCCAGGACATGTTCCTAGGTATCACCTGATAATAAAACTCAGGTTGGCTGTTACTAGGGAAGGCAAGTACTTCCTTCAAGTACCGTACTTGAGTCCTTAGCTGCTAAGGGCTTCATATGTTAGTAAAGGTAGAAAGGTAAAGGACCCCTGAACGGTTAAGTCCAGTCAAAGGTGACTATGGGGTTGTGGCGCTCATCTCGCTTTCAGGCTGAGGGAGCCGGCGTTTGTCTACAGACAGTTTTCCGGGCCATGTGGCCGGCATAACTAAACCCCTTCTGGTGCAATGGAATACTGTGATGGAAGCCAGAGTGCATGGAAACACCGTTTACCTTCCTGCCGCAGCGGTAACTATTTATCTTCTCGCGCTGGTATGCTTTCGAACTGCTGGGTTGGCAGGAGCTGAGGCAGAGCAACGGGAGCTCACCCTGTTGTGGGGATTCGAACCGCCGACCTTCTGATCAGCAAGCCCAAGAGGCTCAGTGGTTTAGACCACAGTGCCAACCGCTCCTTCTTATGTTAGTACAGCACCTTCATGTGGGCTTAGGACACCACTCGCCACCAATGCAGAGTTTTCTGGATTGGTGTAAAATCTCATCTTGCTGCCCAACACATTGTGTAGGTTTACTACTAAACATGTTGCATGCAGTATTTTATAAGTTTCTGTTACGGTGGTACCTTGGTACTTGAATGGCTTGGCTCTCGAACAAATCAGCTCCCAAATGCCACAAACCCGGAAGTGTGTATTCCAGTTTGCGAACGCTTTTTGGAAGCCAAATGTCCAACATGGCTTCTGCGGCTTCTGATTGAGTGCAGGAAGCTCCTGCAACCAATCAGAAGGCGTGCCTTGGTTTTTGAATGGTTCCAGGACTCCCGTAACAGATTAAATTCAAGAACCAGGGTATCACTGTACTTGTGCCCATTCGTGTTCTGTGCAGCAAATAAGTAACAGATACATTATGACAGTGTTTAACTTTATGCATACTTGTAACTTTAAGACTATAGTTTAGCTTTCTGTGAATCAGCTTTGGGTTTGTGAGGTTCTCCCAGCCCTGGCTACAGAGAGGAAATTCGAAGTCTTTGATTCTATTTTATATACAAATGGTGACTAGTCTTGTAGTTTTAAAAAAGATACCTTCAATCCATGGTTTCTGATTCTGGCTAGTTTTGCCAAACTGTAGATAAAGTTATCCACAGTTCCAGGTTCAGACATAACAAACTATAGTTTACTGAAAATGGAAGTGAAAGCTTCTTCTCCAGTTGGAGTAGGAGACAGGAAGGGAGAGTATCAGCCTGTTGAGGTTTGGACATATAAGTCTATCTGGGGGAAGAATAATTTTTCCAGATGCAAAGGATAGTATTTTCAGTGGTACTACATGTGTACACTCAGTAACTAGTTTCATAGGTAACTAGACTGAGCAAAATAGATAAAGCTGTTTAGACTTCATTATGTTCTAAGACCTGTGAGCATATAACATTGTTTGGATCAATGGAAAGAAGCCTTTGGGAAGGCAAAACTCTCAAATTAATATGATGTTAAAGATGTGCTGAAGGAGGCTGCACACTTAACACTTCTCAGTGCTGAGCCTTTACAGAAATGTATGACTTTTTCATAACTTCCTCTGCCTTGTACTCGACGTGTTCTTTTGATCTCAGACTTGCAGGTTTTGCACCAGGGGTGCCTTATTTTATGATCTATACAATTTAACCTCTTGTATTCCCATTTAGTATAAAGTGGATATCCCGGTATCTTCTAGTGCTTTATGAACTTGCTTTGTAGCACATTTCAAGTCTTCTGAGAGCATGCATTCCCTTACTGAAATGTTACTCTAATTGCAACTGATGGGGGAATCCTTTCTGTGCTGTTATAACAAACATCTGCTTCATGTATGGAAACAATTCTTATACTTCATATTTATTTTTAATACACTACCACTTTCTCTTAAACATCAAGGCACGCTTGTAGCCATATGTTGGTTCACAAGTGCATGTGGAAATGTGATAACCAGCTTTTATATGAATATCATAGGTTACCATGTTGCTCCAGTTGAATCCAGAAAGCCACAATTCAATGCTGCAAAGTTGAGAGCAAGCTCCTGACTGCTCCAGAATGTTTCCGCAGCCTGGAATGAAAAAGCAGTCTCAAAGTCTGCTGGTTGTAACTGTCTAAATATGTAGTGTAGGAGGTGTTTGGTAGACTTAGAGTTTTCTAGGTGCAAAATTAATTTCAATGTGCACTGATGGCTACTGAAGACAATGAAATATCAGTGCCCCCTTTAAAGAACATGTGTTTATAAGTTTAGGAAGTTAGTTTGCTATTAGAGCCCCATGATTCTTGGCTGTGAGTGTGAGATTTGGTGAGGGGGGGTTAATGGAACAAGTGGACCCTCAAGAGATTACTTTGATGGTCCTAGTTACAGGTAGGTAGCTGTTGGTCTGCCGTAGTATAAACAAAATAAAAAAAATTCCTTCCAGTAGCACCTTAGAGACCAACTAAGTTTGTTATTGCTCATACCAATAACAAACTTGGTCTCTAAGGTGCTACTGGAAGGAAATATTTTATTTTGTTGGCCCTGACAGAGTGGTCTATTATGTTAATGAGATGTCTTTCAATGGATGAGTAATTCTGGAAGAAAAGAACCATTCGTAAATCTGTGCTCTGCATTCTCTGCCCTTCCCCTGACTGGGGGTTAATAGGAAAGAATAACCAGTCTTCTCTCCTTGCTGGAGGTGGGAAGAGTTTTGCTCTCCAGGAAGCCCACGTGGAAACCTAATAGAAGTCAAGGAGAGAGGGGAGGTTCTGGTGCATATCCAAAAGTCCTTGCAGTGATGGCAGGAGTGTGTTAAATACAAGGGTTAAGTTAATTTCTCTCAAGCATGCAATTGCTTTTCTAGCCATTTGAGCAAGAGAGGCAAGCAAATCTTAGCAACTACATCCTTATCTGCCCTGCAAATGACTTCAAGGTCACTTTGATGCCTAGATTTGTCCCCTTTATGTGTTAGTAGAGGATCAAACAAACTACACACACAGAGAGAGAGAGAGAGAAGAGGAGGAGGAATTTGGATTTGATATCCCGCTTTATTACATTCTCCTTTCCCTTCCTCTCCCACAACAAACACTCTGTGAGGTGAGTGGGGCTGAGAGACTTCAGAGAAGTGTGACTAGCCCAAGGTCACCCAGCAGCTGCATGTGGAGGAGCGGGGAAGCGAACCCGGTTCCCCAGATTACGAGACTACCGCTCTTAGCCACTACACCACACTGGATTAAAGAGAGCTTTAATCTTCCAGCTACAAAATAAAGATTTCTAACTGTGAAAAAGGCTGCTTTTCTTTGGAAGTCCAGATTAGAACAAATAATCTGATTGGGAGTGATTATGCTTTTTGGAGTGTAAATAAATAAACAGAACACAAGCATGTGCTAATGTGGAAGCCTGGGATCAATGGTGAGGGGAAACCCCAGAGGCATGCCTGGGAAGGGCTCCCTTGACCCCTTGACAAATATCTCTTTCCCCCTTTTTGGTGGTTTGGCCAATGTTTGTTGAATGAGGAGGTGGAGGTGGGGGAGGAGAAGGAAAGTACAACCAGGGCGGTGAGCATTAAAATCATTAAGTCCAGGTTCTGAAAGCACTTAGCTGCACTATGGGCAGATTCAACAGAAAGATTTACTTACAAAAAAATAAAAGTGGTTGTAAGAACACATCTAAGTGGTTTACAAAAATATAAAATGATTTTCTACAATAAAATTATTGGTAAAAATCACAGCCAAATCAGGCATGTAAAATGTTTAAAGGGTGATTAAAATCAACGGTAGCAAAAAAAGAAATAGCTTATTTTTATAAAAATAAAATCAAACGAAGTGCATGCTGTATACAGGATTTTTACTTTTAAAATCAAAATCCTTTGGTATTTTGGGATTAAAGAAAAATTAGAACAAGACCCTGCACAGATCTTTAACTATTTATTCTTGTTTGTAATCCTTTTCATTTAATCCTCTAAGATTTACATAATAGAAGAATAGAGATGGCAAAGCTATAAATGCTGTGGTGCATTCAGCCATCATGAGAGTTTACAAGTTCATTGTGGGATAAACAGACCCGTAAGTTCTTTGGACTTAGTAGCGTATTTGACCACAGAACATCTTGTTTCGGGAGGATTCAGACTCTTGATTGGTAGAAGTTTTGTATGACAGCATCCATATAATAGTCACTGGGTGGGATGGCGGGGGGTTGAAACTTTTGCTACCATCTTCCTGTTTTGCTTTGCTACTGCTCCCCTCTGAAGGGAAAGGAAAGATGGCCGACCATCACTGAAGGAAGATACTGGACCCTCTCTACTGTTTTGTTGCAACTGATCTGACACAAGATGGGGAGGTTTAAAGTGGGGGTGGGGGGATAGTTGTGTTAGGATTTTCATCCATCTGTGCTGCTCCAGCAGTAGCACTATGTTTTGTGTATATCATTTGAGTGTCTGAGAGAGCATGAGACAGGAAGTCTCAGTACTGTTGGAAGTTAGTTTCACTTCTGTTTGTGATGCTGTTCTGTACTGGTGCTCAAAGAGTACAGATATGCTGATGAATTCTCTGTATATTTGTTGTTGTTTAGTCGTGTCCAACTCTTCGTGACCCTGTAGACCAGAACACGCCAGGCACTCCTGTCTTCCACTGCCTCCCGCAGTTTGGTCAGACTCAAGCTGGTAGCTTCGAGAACACTGTCCAACCATCTCGTCCTCTGTCGTCCCCTTCTCCTTGTGCCCTCCATCTTTTCCAACATCAGGGTCTTTTCCAGGGAGTCTTCTCTTCTCATGAGGTGGCCAAAGTCTTGGAGCCTCAGCTTCAGGATCTGTCCTTCCAGTGAGCACTCAGGGCTGATTTCCTTAAGAATAGATCGGTTTGATCTTCTTGCAGTCCATGGGACTCTCAAGAGTCTCTCCAGCACCATAATTCAAAAGCCTCAATTCTTCGGCGATCAGCTTTCTTTATGGTCCAGCTCTCACTTCCATATATCACTACTGGGAAAACCATAGCTTTAACTATACAGACCTTTGTTGGCAAGGTGATGTCTTTGCTTTAGTTTTAGAACTATGATTGACTCTTGCTTCTGCAATGATATGTCAAAAGACGAGCGTGCTCCTCTCAGGAGAGAGGGGTCGCTTATCACTGGTCTCTCTGGACTGATGGAGATTTATAGCCAGGGAGGACCACCAGAGAGACGCCCCCATGACTTGGGAAGTTGGCGGCCTTCCCGGGCATGTTTCCAACAAGTTGTTTATCTACTACTTAGTGGGAGGGGTGTATGGGGTGTTAGGGGAGGGGTGGTACCTGTGGTGGTGGACATGTCATGCTCCTTCTGATGTAGCTTGTCCACCTTTGGTCCTCACCCTCCACTCAGCTCTCCCCTGTGGCTCCCAGAACCTGTCAGCATGTGACAGCAGCCACACCTCGGGAATGGCTTTGACTGGCTGGCTAAACCAAGTGAGAGTGGCTGATGGATCTCAAACCCTTGGTGAGTTAGGGACTTCCTCCAAACATGAAGAGAAGATCCAGCAGATTGAGTGGACAGGACCAGTAGTGGGTCCAACAGCCATGAAGGCGGTTTCTGCATGTGCTGTAAAGGGATGTGGGGGCAGGTGGGGTTCGCCAACCTGGTAAGGTAGCCCATCTACGAGAAGCATGCCAACAACAACAAGATGTATGAATCTGCTACTCAGTCCTTCTTCTTAATTTTCATTAAGCAGCGCTTTTACATGGGCTGAAACTGGCTCTGCCTTGAGCTCTCATTTATTAAGTTAGTTTTAAACTATGTTAGGTTTTTGCTTTGTGTTTTTTGAAGTCAAACATTTAAACAACGGGACTCAACATATCTCTGTGAGGCGGAATTTTGTGACCCTAAAGTGGCAGCTCATTAGCTTTATACATTTGGATTTTATGCACTCTTTGTCAAGCTATCTTTTAAAGACAATTTAGAAGCTGCATCTTTGTCAACTGTGGTAGCTTATTTCTTGATGAGGGCGAGTTGCTGAAAACACGTCAGTCTTGTTTGCAGGTGTACCCGTTGTCTAGTAGCTTCCAGGACCAATGCAAAGTGCTGGCGATTACTATCTGGAGTTCTGAGTTTTGTGTACCTAAAGCAGGTGTGGGTCTAAGACATTTTGGTACCTGAAGTGAACCACCAAATGGCACCACCAGGAAGGAAGAGTTGGAACAAGGGAGGAGGGAATCAAATCAACCTTATCCAACAGTTGATGTGGGAATCAAAGGCTGTTGTGGAAGGGGGAAGGGTTGTAGCATGCTCTTAATCATACCAAGTGGGTACAGAGCCCAGGAGACACTAGAGGGCAGCCCCTTGCATTTCCTCCTTAGGTGTGGGAGGAGACAAGGAGCACCTTATATTTCCAGGAAGCCACTATAGATGTGAAATCAGGGGTAGGGTGCAGATCCAACCAACAAGGAGTATACCACAGCCACCACTTGCTGCAGCAGAAAGTGATGCATTCCTTGCATGCCAGATCTACTGCCCCTATGGATCCTGCCACCCGAGGCAGTGGCCTCATCTTGCCTCACAGGGGGGTCGGCCCTGGGATGGGGACCCTTCAGCCCGCAGGTCTAAATGGGCCTGCTAGGTCTCCCCATTTGGTCTGCCATTTCAGCCACATGGTCTGCCATTTCAGCCACATTTCTGCCCTACACCTGCAAACCCGCCAACATTTCTCTGATGAAAATAGGGATATCTTATTTAATAATAATAATAATAATAATAATAATAATAATGACTTTAATTATTTATACCCCACTCATCTAGAAGACATCTGAAGGCAGCCCTGTTTAGGGAAGTTTTTAATGTGTGACATTAATGTGTGACTGAGCGCAGCTTCTGAAGATTTGACACAGTTCAGGACCATGTAGTGGAAAAAAATGTTACCCCCAGCTGCCAAACTTGGCCTGGGAGGGGTGTAGAAGGCAGCCACCAGGCCCACCAGAAAGTTTTCCCACCCCTGGCATAAGAGAAACCCTCCCACGTGATTTAGATCTGTCAGACAGGCTTCACTCTTTTATGACAGGGAGATTTGTGAACCTGAGGTACCTTAACTCATTTTTAAACATTTATCATGCACAAAGTACACATGGCTTGGATTATTGTTTTAATTTCCCCAGAAAGGTCAAAGCAACAAAATAGAAATTTTAGTAGCTGTAACGAGGCTTGCGTATCTGCTATGATTAATCTAGGTCATTAAGACACAATGTGCATTTGATATATGCGGTAACGCTTTCAAAAGTGCTGATATACTATTGCTGTAATTTTTCAGGAATGTTGTGCTTAAGTCCCTTCAGCCTCCCATGAACACTTGGAAACATTTCAATTGATTACTTTTGTGATTCTGCTGTAAGTGAAGAGAAAGAAGCATCGCTTTGAGCTCTAAATGTGAATGTTGGCCTGAAAGCTTTTGTGTGTAACATCGGCATCTGTTGTCCTGAAGGTGACTCAGACAGCCTGTTTACGATTTGCTCACCGGCCCTATTCACATCACTGCATAAGACAAATCTCCTTGAAAATG